AAGGAAAGCAACTTTTATTATTTTACATGGTAATTCATTGTAGTTTAGGATTGTAAATGAGTTAAGGTCTTATTAAAACATGCAATATAAAATTTTATACAAAGAGTCATTTTTATCGAGGAAAATATTTGTCTGCAATTATTTGTTTTCACGGTTTTTTTCGTTACTTTCTCCAATGAGATAAGGATATATAGCCATCGAAGAAAGTGACTATCCTTTTTTATTATTATTTTTTTCTAGGTGCGTCAATTGCGTTGAGTGAGACAGATTTATGTCGGATCTTAACGGGTTCGTATTAAAAAATACTCTACTTATATCCGATTTATTATTAATTCATGTATAATGAATTACATTATATCGGAATCGTGTCGTACATGAATCGTGTATAATTGATATATAAATGAATCATATTGTGTATTTCATTTAATTGATTTCACTCATATTCGATTCTTTTATTAATTGTCTTTGTGTCAGGTTTATCCGTTTATGAAATGGGTGATTCAAGAAATATTCAAATTCTCTAACTTTGCATCGAATTCGTATCATATTAACGAATGTGTAGCCAACAGAAAAGGGCAATTCCCTGCAAATATCGTGTTTGTAAAACCTATTTTCCTAGCCATCCGGAAAATAAGGACAGAGGAAACAAAAATTTTATGGATAAATGCTTTTTCCCATGACCATCTTCTGGAGAATTCGGCTGTAAAGTATTTGTTGGGACAACATTTATCAGCAAATTTTTAAATTTTCTCGAGAAAAAATTTCTAGAAAGAAGGGCTTGCTTCAATCACGCCTTGACTTGTCAGTATCATAATACATGAATTACGATGCACGTTTTGAGTCAATTCCAACTGAACTCTGCTGGCCATATACTCCTCTTACTTTGGTTCCTTGTAAAGTCAAGTTCAAGCTCAACCTAAATTCAATAAAATTCCTAGCTATTTGGAAAAATCTAGACTGGCCATTTCATACGATATCAAAAAAAGAGTAATGTTATTTAGATTTAAAAATTTGATTTTATTTGCTAACTTGATTCATAATGACTTCTAAATTAATTGTGGACTCCATTAAATGTTGAAATTTACTCTTCATCTAATAGTTTCAATGAAACTATACCATCAAATCAACAAATAAGATCAAATTTTTAGGTCTGGATAACATTACTCTATCAAAAAATAGGGAGATAAATTATAATCTAAAAAAATATATATGTTGGGTGTAACCGTTACACCATGTCATCATACTGACATGATATGACTGTTCAATGAAAAAATAGCATGTGGCAGGTGGATTCCACATATTTTAGTAACTATCTTCCCATGTCATTTAATAACTATTCAAGTGGGATTCACCTTTTTCATTTGTAGGTTCACTAGCGATACCATGTGACTAAAGTCACTGTACACTGAATTATTAAATTGTGTATGCATTAGAGTATGTGTATGTATGTGCAATTTTGTGTTGTGGAGTGTGCGTATTGGGTTTTTGAAATTTGGGAGAAAAAGTGTGTTGATGTGTGAAATTTGGGGGAAAAAATATATCTCCCATAAGTTCAAACACTTATCTGATTTATTATATAGATTATTGGATGGTAACACTACGTATCAATGATGATGTGGTGTCACTGTTACACCCTATATTTACTCAAAGTTATAACTCAGTGAGGTTTGAAAATTTGAGTTTAATTCTAAAAAAATTTTGACCGATCTGAAAAGGTTGAGATTAAACTCAATTTTTTGGATTAGTAAGACCTAATTTTCTTGAATCCTAATTTGACATGTTTTAATCATAACTTGATCTGATTAAATTATAATACGTGACGCGATAGGAAAAATTTATCATTTAAAATCTCAAATAAATGCATTATCAAATAAAATTATAAGAATTGTAATGGAGAAGATGTTTATCCCTTTTCTTGTCACTATTTCATACCCACTAACTTGGGAAAGTATTCAATGTAAAGGTGATAACACATCATTATTGATATGCAATAATATTAACAATCAATTATACATAAATTCTATATAATATTAACCGATTTCGCCAAATTTTACAGTCGTAATAATTTTTATTGAATATTTTTAATTAATTGAATTCTCATCATAAAAAAACCCTATTTATTTAATACTACATAGTAATAATAAGAGTAAATTACACTCACATTCCCTAACATTTGATTTTATTACACGGATACCCCCTCACATTTTAAAAATTACAATGAGACCCCTTGACATTTGACCACGTGTGACAGCCGCACCTCTTTCGTTTAACAAATGTTAACAATTTCATTAAAAAAAAATTTTCAACCCTTATATATCCTTGAGATTTACCAATGCCCATATCCAATCTATCCAACTCACCCCTCTATTTGACTAAATAAAAATAAATAAATTGAAAAAAATCCAGACAACTAATAAACCCCACATCCCCAAACCCTAATCATCTGCTTCCTCCATCCCCTTCACAACCCCTCACCAAATCCAACCCCAACTCTAGGCGTTTGTATCCCCATCGCAGCCTCCCCATCACGGAAACCACCACCACCACCTTCTCCTCCTCCTCTCTCTCTCTCTTGCACATGCACACACACACACACATATACTTCTAATCCCCAACTGTGGCTCCGAATCAATTTCCAGCAAATGTCTTCCCAAACTGAAAAGAAGCCTCAAAAACAATGGTCCTTGCAGTATACACAGAAAAACATGGTGGTGAGCTTGGTTTCACGATTCAGAGAGAATTTACTTGATTTTAGAGTATGCCCATGGAGAATTTACCTGATTTTGAAGTATGCCCATGGTGGTGAACTCTACGAAGAGCTCCAAAAAATCAGTCATCTCACAGAAAAACAAGCTGCCATTGGATGGGTTGGCTACTAAAGGGTGTTGTAGTGGTGGGGGAGGGCTGGCAATTTTTTCGAATTTTTTCTACAATTTCAAACTATTATATATATATATATATATATACACCAAAACAACGAAAAGTCCACCTAACCACTTCCCGCCATGCTTTGTCTTTCTCCTAAGCCCTTATCCTTTTACTCCTTCCTTCGCAAAACCCGAAAACCAGGCCCCAAAAACCCTAAAGCAAAATCCTTCATTTTTCACCATAATCCCTCACACATCACTTCCACACCAAACCCAAGTGCCAATCCAAAATCCAAATCGAAAGGGGTCTTGAATTCAACCTTGGAGACACCTTCTTTTTGCCATGAAAGCGCCACCGACCGTAACCTCGGCGTGCTCGCCGCAACCCTGTACAAGAAATCCCACACACACAGAGGGAGTGAGAGAGAGAGAGAAGACCGATGATTTCAAGCTAGTTCTTCACCTTGAGAGAGAGAGCACTATGTAGATGACGGTGCAAATTAGGGTTTGGGGTTAGGGATAGGGCTTATGGTTTAGGTTGAGTTTGTGTTAAATAAAGGGGTAAAATAGTTTTTTTATTAAGATAGTTAACTCCATCTAACTATTGGATTTAATGTAAATTTGAAACGTAAAAGGGTTTTTGTGTAATAAAATTAAATGTCAGAAAATGTAAATGTAATTTACCCTAATAATAACTTTACATCACCGTTACATCAAATGCCTAACCGCCTCCAACCGATATACGAATTCTCGGCGGTGCCTACCTCTCCCCCATCTCTTTCCACGTGTCACCGTCGTATTACTCACGCGTTATAACCGCTCGGAATATCCGACGGTCATTCTCAGCCGGCCTTTTCATTGGCGCCTTTCACTCCCCAACATCTCTCTGTCCTTTAGTTCCTTTACATCAGATCCGTTATCAACGATCATATTTCTCTCTCTAACCCATATTTTAAAGGACACTTTGCACAACAAATATTTTTGGGTTATCAATTTATATCTTAAAAGATTAAAATTTTTATATTTTATTAATCAAACAAAAAAAAAAAAGCAATGTGTTCCATTTTAAGAAATTTGAGTACAAATTTTTTATTAAAATATTTAAAATTGAGTATTATATAAATAATTGTGTATAAAAATAAATGATTAATTATAATTTGTCTCTTTCAACTATTTCTCTTGTTATAATCAATTTCTTGTGGTTTCAAATACTATAATTTGTCCCATCTAAGTTTCAAGAAGACTTAATTAACTAACTATAGTGTCTGAACATTTGAATGAACCATTATACCCTTCGTCTTGTACGTTATTTTCAACATTTGTTTATTGAGATACCAATTTGTCCCTAAAAAATAAGGAAATGAAAAAACCACGATTAAAAAATAAGAAAATTTTCATCTACACCTCATAACAAGGAAGGGGCTTCTATCGGAAATGATAGAAGAATGAGAGTTAACCATCCGAGGTAAGGGAGGATTGGAAGAGTGTAAGAGTAAAATGGGAAGTATGGTTATTTCATACAGCAAAAAATAAGTGTAAGAGTAATTATATCTTTTTAACAAAGTAGGAATCCCCTGGATCTAACATGTCTAACTTTTATCAATTTTTATTGTCTAAAAGTAATTATTAGAGTTAATTGAAATATATTCAAACTTAAAGGGACTATTTGTTGAAATTAAAATTTGAAGGAGTGAGTTGCAAATTATCCAAAGTTGAAGGAGACATTTTATAATTAATCCAAAAATAAAATAATATGTCAAATACCACAAAAATATTTGTCGAAAAAGGCAACAAATATTTAATTTTGGACTATATTGCTATTTTTTTTATTTGATTGAGAGTCAAATGTTAGTATTTATTCTTTCATGGTGTCAATTGAGAATTTGATAATTTTTTGAGATACAAAATTTAATTCACCCCTTTTTAAATTAACAATCATACCCCACCCCACCTCCACAATGGGAGCAGGCCAACCCAACAAAACAATTATAACACGCGTCTTTGAAACACCCGCTAATAATAACAACTACCTAGCTAATACGCGTAAATTCCAGATCCAAGGTGCCCCAACACACCCTCTAAACCACCCCCCCCCCCCCCCCCCCCACCCACATTCCACCATTGGTTCCTATTCTTTTCCCTCTCCAAAGTCTCTCTCTTTAACTTCCTTTATTTAGTATCCAGGTTTCTCTGCGACATTTGCTCAAACACCCACCACACAATTGCCAAAAATAACCATCTGCCATGCCTTCTATTTTGTTGAGGATTTTCCTTCTGTACAACCTCCTTAATACAATCCTGCTCTATTTGGTTCCCAAGAAGGTTAGGACATACCTCCCCCCTTCTTGGTACCCCCAACAAATCAATCTTGTAGACACCAAACATCCCCTTTCATCTTCTTCTGCTGATTCTTCTCTGTTACCATCCTCACCTTCGGCTCGAGTTCCATATAGAATGGACTCGGGCGAGCTAAAGCGTGTTTTCCAATTGTTTGATCGAAATGGGGATGGCCGGATCACGAAGAAGGAGTTGAATGACTCGTTAGAGAATATGGGTATCTTCATCCCTGACAAAGAGCTTACTCAAATGATCGAGAAGATCGATGTTAATGGAGATGGTTGTGTTGATATTGATGAGTTTGGTGCATTGTACCAATCTATAATGGACGAGCGCGATGAGGAGGAGGATATGAGGGAGGCTTTCAACGTGTTTGATCAAAATGGTGATGGGTTTATCACTGTGGAGGAGTTGAAATCGGTCTTGTCGTCGCTCGGACTCAAGCAAGGGAGGACAGAAGAAGATTGCAAGAGAATGATACTGAAGGTGGATGTGGATGGAGATGGAATGGTCAATTTTAATGAGTTCAAGCAAATGATGAAAGGGGGTGGTTTTTCTGCATTGAGTTAAAGCATTTTGAAGGGGTTTCATAGGTTGTAAATATCTTTGTTAAAGGAAGGGATCACAAAGAGTGGTGATTACACAGGCTTTGCTCCGTCAAGTGCATGTTTGGGTGGCTAATTGTCAGTATTGTTCAAAACCAACAGAGAGTGTGTATTGATGATCATGCAGATCTGAAATATGTCTGCTCATATCTCTTGTTTTTTGTGATTTGGGTCTCTTTCAATACATTTTTTTTTTCAATTTTTCCCGATAATAGATCATTCACCATTTATTGACGGAATTGACACATTATGTTGTGTGACCCGCTCGGACACATGATGGGTAACCTTCCTTTGCGAGAATTTGAGAAAACATGTATTGGAGAAGATTTGAATACGTATGACATTCAGATCTGATTTTGCTAAATGGCAGGATCCCATTGTAGAGAGGAAGGTACTGAGCATCCTTCATTTGGCTCTAATACTTGAACTACAGGTTGAGTCACCAATTTGTTGGCATATGTTGGATGCGACAGACCGACCGTAATTGAACTGATTGCTACTCTTCAGGGGAAGAAGGTGAGGATATTGTAGGGAGCAAAATTGTTATCAAGGGCAATGACATTTTGATTTGTGAGTCATATTTCTCCAATGGTGCAAGAATGGATTGTAGTCGTTTTTATGATTTATAAATATATGTTCTTTGTGTCACTTTAATCCTTTATCTTTAATTTATGCACTTCAGTCCATTAAATTTTCAACTTATTTTTGAATTGATGAATACATAACTTACATGAAAATTATCATTTATGTGGCGTGTAGAGCTGTTAATTGAGCCAAGTTTTACGAGCTCGTTTTTTAAATAATTTTAAAAAATTGTTTAAGCTCGGCTTGTCTAAAAAATGAGTTGAGCCCAAAAAAAACAGAATTCGAGTCAAACTCGAATAACTCGACTATTTTATATATAAACAAACCGAGCTTTATGAGTTCAAACCAAGTTTTGTAGACTCGTTTTTTAAATGAACTTAGCAAACTATTCAAATTCGACTCATTTAGAATACAATCCAAACTCGAATCGAGTCCTCCCTGAGCCGGGTCCAAGTGACTTTTCCCCTAGCAGTATGTGAGTTGAAATTATGGGAATGTTGTGAGGTGGTGATTGTTTTGTTCTTGAACTTCTTTATTATTTCGTCTATCCTCTTCCTCATCTGCTTCTTTCCTCACCACACAAGGAAAATTAAGCAACAGCACCAAAAAACCACCGCCATCTTGCCATAGCCATCATAGCTGTCATGCAATTAATCCACCGTTACCACTCTTCAGCATATCTATAAGGTTGTACGGAAATTGATAGTACTATAACACCTAGCACAAGTTTGGTAGGTTTGGTAAGAGCGTACTATTACTTACATTCAATCCATTTACCTACATTCAATCCATTTACCTACATTCAATCCATTTCCATTCATTCACATAATAATTACATTGCCACTTACCCAAAACTTAATTCATCAAATATGGGACGCAAGAGCCCAACCAGTGTTAGATGCAAAGTCCCGTACCTCGTTAAAATTATATTGGCATACTCTCCCAAAAAGAAAGGACAGACTCCATTGAAGACGAGAGAGGTACAACAAAGGCATTTCTATCCACCGCCCTTCTCACGAGCCCTACATGGATGTTACCTCTCATACAGCTTGGAGCCAGCAAGTAGTTAGAGGTTGTTGTTTGATCACTGTTTACATAATTTACAAAACTTCCAAACCAAAACAATCTAATATAGATTTTCTCTCCCATCAGCTTCTTTAATCTGTATTCCAACTTTCCACACCATTTTGAGCCAGCAAGAAGAGGTCCCGTATACCGGGAAAAGAACATAAGTAGTCATCACATTCTACATACATAAAAAATGAAAAAGAAAAAAAGGAAAAAAAAAAAGAGATAGGCTTCAATGTACCATGCCTTACATTAACTGAATTTTGAAATAAATATAGTACCCATTTTCAACATGGGGCAACACAAAAACATCAGTCGCACACAACAGCAGCATAACAAAGGCCTTGGGCAATGTTCAAGATGGTGCATCTACAGAAGATGAACAAATTTATTTTTATTATTAATAATAAGGTTGAGAAACTTTGTAAAATCTGCCAAATAGCAAAGGCAAGTCAATTGCCATTTCTTAGTGCTGAGAATTTTTTTGTCATGAACCCTTAAAATTATTCCTTGCGGTATTTGGGGACCGGCTCCTATTACAAATTAGACAAATGTAAGACGAGACGTGGTAGTTGCTATCTATCCAAAAGGAAACATTTCAAATGTCACAACTCGATTACGGACAAAAATATGCTTGATCAAAAAAAACAAGGAAAGAAATATATACTTTCCTTGAGATGAGTGATCTTTTGACTAATCCAAGTGTCCTGCATAATTGCAACCAAACACGGATAAATTGATATCATTTCATATTTACTTATTTTAAAATTTAGATATATCAACTAGATTAGAAATTAGAAAAATCTAAATTGACAAATCTAAGACCAAAGAGTCGGGGAGACCCAATGAAAATTGAGGCCATAAACATAAATTATAAATGGGGCCCGTTAAAATTAATAATAAATATATGAATATATGATTAAAATTTCATTAAAAATTATAGTTCAAACTTTGTAAAATCTGCCAAATGGCAAAGGCAAGTCAGTTGCCATTTCTTAGTGCTGAGATTTTTTTTTTCATGAACCGTTGAAATATTTCCTTGTGGTATTTGGTGACTGGCTCCTATTACAAATTAGACAAATGTAAGAGGAGATGTGGTAGTTGCTATCCATCCAAAAGGAAACATTTCAAATGTCACAACTCGATTACCAACAAAAATATGCTTGATCAAAAAAAACAAGGAAAGAAATATATATTTTCCTTGAGATGAGCGATCTTTTTACTAATCCAAGTGTCCTGCATAATTGCAACCAAACACGGATAAAATGACATCATTTTATATTTACTTATTTTAAAATTTAGATATATCAACTAGATTAGAAATTAGAAAAATCTAAATTGAAAAATTTAAGAACAAAGAGTCGAGGAGACCCAATGAAAATTGAGGCCATAAACATAAATTATAAATGGGGCCCTTTAAAATTAATAATAAATATATGATTAAAATTTCATTAAAAATAATAGTTCTAGCTTTTTTGTGATGCAAAATTAATAATTAAGTTTATATATATGCTAATGTATATTTTTTCGTTGACAATATGACTAACCCACTGTAATTTCTTTAGAATATTGTTAAAAATGAAATGAAACAATAGTAGCTGATAAATAGAGATTGTATATAAATTTTGATTTTTTATTTGTATTTTAAATTGTCTATTAAGTCTAACTTTTGCCAATAAGAAGAAAACTGAAATTGGATTAAATTATATTATTAAAAATATAAAATTATTAAATAAAAGAAATTTAATGTCTTTGCAATCCAATGTAGGAGTAAGATGATCTATATGTGTATATTTGTTAATGGAGGGACAGAAAGATGGCAAACTAGCACTAGTGTTTTTCCTTAGTAACGTAGGTAATGCAATTTTTCTTTTTCTTTTTATAGTTGTGTGGAGTTCGAATTGTGATATTCTTGAGAGAGAGGAGAGGGGGGTTTGTGGTGTAGGTGTGTGCTATTTTTTATTATGTGAAATTATTTGTTGTCATTAAAGAATAGAGAGAAGTATTGCCATTAATGAAGAGAGAGAAGTTAGGCCCTCATCTTTTCAATATGAACTTTACTATGTATGGGTTTTATTAATTCTGAATTTTATTGGACCAAATAAAAGGGTCATTTGGAAGCCGGTACACCGAATTAGACTTAATTGTAAAAAAATACACAGAACAAAAAATTTTGAAAAAAAGTACACTGTTGAGATAAAAAAACGTAAATGTCCATTTTTTTAATTTTTTTTTCCTAAAAGTGTAACAAGGCATTTATCATAACTGCTGAAATTTAGGTTCATTTAATTCAAAATCTCTTCAAGTTCCTCAAATCGAACTGTGTGTCCTTCTTAATCCAAAAAAACTGCTTCATCTACTCGGAGAAAAAAAGACCGACTCTCTTTCTTCCATAACTAAGAAAAGAGTTTCTTAGTACTGTGCATTGCACATCGATTGACAAAGGAATTGGACTTACATTGACACAAACTGAAGAGGGTTTGTTCGCGATTTGAGGACCCTTTCAAAATTTGGCATTGTTGGTCGTTGTTGCTCGTTGTTTCAACTATCATCATTGCTCGTTGTTTTCGAAATGAGAATCTCACTGTTGATTGTTGTTTCGACTGTCATTTGCGTTTGTTGATCTTCGCTAGATGTAATGCATTTTTTTTTTTTTGGTATTAACATCATGGGTTACCAGAAATCAAATTACATTACATTTATCTTTGTTTTTGGTTTTCTTTTGGCTGAAAGTTCTTGCTAAATTCATGTATTGAAAACATATTTTGTATGTTGAGTAACATACTAGATAAAATCAAAAATTGAAAACGAATGTGGTAAACCTTTGTTGTTTTTTTGGCAAAAGCCCTAAAATTATGTATTTTTTATACCATAAATGTTTTCCTTTTAGAGAAAACGATAATTTATTGGATTTGGTACATTTAATAACTTTTTTTTTCAATTGCTAGAATATAGGTTTGAAATTATGTCAGAAAGTGTAAAGTTAAATTAACTGATTATGTTTTTGCTTTTGTTCAGTAGTACTGTGCCTGTGGTACCAAAATCAAAATAGAGATGTACTGTTTTGAATGAAACTATATGCATATATATATGTTTTCCAGAATGTAATATAACAGTGATCTGTGTTGTGTTTTGTTACACTATTATTGGCACACTTTGTTTGTTACATTGGTTTTGATACACTTTTATTTTGTTATACTGTTATAATTACAATGAATCTTTTGTTTTGGTATAAAACATTGTTGTGCGATGAATGTTAATTATCCACATTGTTCAGGGACACAAGTGTTTATTCCTTGTTTAGTAATTGTGTGTGATTACACTGTGTGTATATCCACAATGTTTATTGCGTTCCTCTCATAATGTAACATAGAAAGTGTAATAATGTAACGAACATAGTATAACACCATACCAATTACTGGACCATAAGACATGGAAGTGGATATTCTACTTATAAAGTGTTGTTGTGGGGTGAATATTAAGTATCCAGATTGTTCAGGGACAAAGGTGTTTATTCATTGTTGAATAATTGTGTGTGATTACACTTTGTGTATATCCTCACTGTTTTATTGTTACAGTGTTTTTGGTTTACTTATTTGGTTAAACTGTTATAGTTACATTCAACCTTTTGTTATACTTTGTACACTTTGCCCATTTTTTTAATTTTTTTTCCTAACAAGTGTAACAAAGCATTTATCATAACCATTGAAATTTAGGCTCATTTAATTTAAAATCTCTTCAACTTTCTCAAACCAAACTGTGTGTCCTTCTTCATCCAAATAAACCGCTTCATCTTTTTGGAGAAAAGAAGACCGATTATCTGTCTTTCATAACTAAGAAAAGGGTTTCTTAGTACTATGCATTGTATATCGATTGACGGAGGAATTGGTCTTACATTGGCACAAACTGAAGAGGGTTTGCTCGCGATTTTAGGACCCTTTTGAAATTCAGCATTGTTGGTCGTTGTTTCAACTGTCATCGTTGCTCATTGTTTTCGAAAGTAGAATCTCACTGTTGATCGTTGTTTTGACTGTCATCTGCGCTTGTTGATTTTCGCCAAAGGTAATGTGTATATATATATATATATATATATTTTGGTATTAACATCATGGG